CTTGTTCCTTCCTATTATTGCTTATACTCTCTCTACAACAAAATTAGAGATAAGGGCAAAATAGTTTCTGCTGGGTATTGAGGGGGGGAGCGAGAGGGGGTGGAGTGGGTGGTAAGGGAGGGGGTGGGGGCAGGGGGGAGAAATAAACCAAGCCTTGTATGCACATATGAATAATAAAAGAAAAATGAAAAAAAAAAAAAAGTCCTCCCTCAGCCCAGTGTTGGTGGTTCGCATCTAGAATCCCAGCTACTTGAGAGGCTAAAATTAGGAAGACTGAGGTTTGAGGCCAGCCTGGGCAAACAGTTCGTAAACTCCATCTCCAAAATAACCAGAGCAAAACAGACTGGAGGTGTGGCTGAAGCAGGAGAGTGCCTGCCTTGCAAGCATGAAGCTCTGAGTTCAAACCCTAGTCCCCCCCCAACAAAGTCCTACTCAAACTTGCTTCTTCCCCCAGCAGCCCCTCCCCAGAAGCTCTTTAACTCTAGGACTTGCCCTGCTCGAAGACCCTTTCTGACTCCTCCCCCTCCTCCAGGTAATTAGCCACCAAGTCCTTCCATTTCACCTCCAAATCTGCCATGTCCCACCAGCCCCAATCCAAATTCAGGTCCTCATTGTGAAGTTCTCTGAAGAAGCTGCATTTATATTGATGATCCTCCAGACTGCTTGCTTGATTGTGCAGAGATGGGGTTGATGCAGGTCAAGAGCCAAATTATCTTGGGCTATTTTTTTTGCAGTACCAGGAGTTAAACCCAGGACCTTGTGCATGCTAGGCAAGTACTCTACCATAGGGCTCATGTCCCAGCCCTTTTTTTTTTTTTTTTTTTTGTGGGACTGAGGTTTGAACTCAGGGCTTCACACTTGCAAAGTAGATGCTCTGCCGCTTGAGCCATACCTCCAGTCTATTTTGCTCTTGTTATTTTGCAGATTGGGTCTCACAAACTATTTGGGCTGGCCTTGAACTAGCAATCCTTCTGACTTCAGCCTTCTAAGTAGCTAGGATTATAGGCATGAACTACTGGTGCCCTGCTCCCCAGCCCCTTTTAACTTTATTTTTGAGATAGGATATTTACTAAAATGCCCAGTCTGGCCTCAAATTTCTGATGCTCCTACCTCAGCCTCTGAGTGATAAGATTACAGATATACCACCACACCAGATTTTAGCACCCCTCCCTTTTTGTTTTTTAAATAGTACTTAGGGGTGAACCCAGGACACATGCTTTCTAGACAAGCAAGTACTCTGTCACTTGAACTACACCCCCAGTCCTTTTGTTTTTTGAGAAGGTTCTTGCTAACTTTGCCTGGGTTGGCCTCAAACTCTCCATCCTCCTGCCTCTACCTCCTGAGTAAGTTAGATTACAGGCATGCAGCACCACACTTGCTTTGGCGTCTTTTAACAGCCATTTATTATCAGCTTCTGTATCTGAGATAACATCCTCTTGACTTTTCAATAAAACTTGGAATTTAGGGCTGGCGGAGCAACTCAACTGGTAAGAGTTGCTCAGCAACTAGCAAGTGTGAGGCCCGGAGTTCAAACCCCAGTGCCAAAAAAGAAAATCAAACTTGGAATTTATATTAAGCTTGACACACCTACCTTCTACTAACCCTAAATCTAAGCCTAAGACAAAATCTAAATCCTATTTCAGCTGGGTGTGGTGGTGGGCTACCTATTATCCCATCACTCAGGAGGTAGAGCAGGAGGGTCATAAGTTTAAGGCCAGTCTAGACTACAAAGGGGGACCCTGTCTTAAAAACCAAGAGCTATGCACAATACCCTGGGTTCAATCCCTAGTACTGAAAGTAAGCAAGCAACAATAACAAAAACTCAAGCTGTGCTGCAGAGTACTTACCTGGCATGCTCAAGGCCCAGGTTCAATGCCCAGAGCCAGAACAAGGAAAAAAAATATCCAATGATGTTCCTTCCTTGCTGTAGTCTCCTACCTGATGACCCCACTTACTTATAGAAGTTCTTGTAACTTTTTCCATGGTGGAACATGTCATTCAGTATAAGTTGAACCTATGTTTCCAAGCCATGGCCACTCATATTTAACTCGGACTAAGTTATTTTCTTACTTCCTTATAGTACAGTTTACATCATTGGTGGGGCAGCTCTTTGCCAGCCTTCTAGACAATGTCCCATGGGGGCAGGTGCAGCTTTCCCCTCATACCTGCATCCTGCAGCAAGGGGACTTCTCTGACAACTCATTTCCCCCAAACACCTTCAGTGCATCCTTGCCACCTGCAGCATCACAACAAAGCCCCAGGACCTGGCTTTGAGGCCCCTGTATGGTGTGCTCCTGCCTGTCTGTCTAGTACAGGGTCTTGCTTTGTATCCTAGGCTGGCCTTAAACTCAGGCTCTCCTGTCTCAACCTTTATGCTAAAGCATCATGTAGATGCAGAAAATCACACACACCATGTCAAGTCTGATGGATTCTCACCAAGCCAGCACACCCACAGGGCAGCACCTAGCTATAGAAAGAGAACATTACCAGAATCCCCCAAATCTCTTCTTGTCCACCTTCAACCACTACTTTCCTGTGCCCCAAGGTAACCACTACTCTGACTTCCAATCAGTCATTTTTCTGTGACTCAGGCTGCAATCCCCACACTGTGATGGGCTTCTCTGGGGAGGAGAAGGGCCCATGGGGGGGACTCTGCCTCCCAGAGGTGGTGGAGCCTCTCAAGGCCCTAGGTTGGAGCCTCCTGGAGAAGTGATTCAGTCACAGCTTCTCCACTTCTGCAATGCCTAGTCTCCTGAGCACCCTGCTTCCTGCTTTCTTCTTCCCCGGAGGTTTCTTCTCCTCCTACCTATCATGGAGTGGGGGTGGGGAATATCAAAGCAGCCTGGGTAACAGAATTTTGAGGCCTGACACTCAAAATTCTGAGGAGCTTTGGTAGTATGGTGTGGGAAGTCATGCAGCTCTGTAAGGGTATAGGGGCAGGCAGTGCTAAAACCAGATGCCGGATGCTAGGACATCTGACCTTCCCCAGTTAGGATCACCTCCCAAATTCAGAACTAAGTGTCTCTGTCCTACTCATCCCATAGGCTATCCCTATCCTTTCTAGGCTCTGTATCAAGGTGATCCAGCCCCGCTTTCCTCCAACCCCTGCCTCATGTCCCTCCTGGTGCTTCAGCCACACTATGCTACACACAGCTCCAAGATCTGGGTCGCTCTAACGCACACACTGCTCACTGTGCCTGGAACACCCGTCTAGTCCTCTCCCTCATTGGTCCTCAAGTCAGCTCAGCTGAAAGTCTCCTCTGTATCCAAATCCTTATTACCTGACCCTGTGTGCTCCCCTCCCCATGCCCATTGCTCCTTTTCAGGCCTGACATTCTTACAGCCGGGAGTCCTTCCAGCAGCACCAGCCCTGAAATGACAGCACCACCTCTGAATGCTGAAATGCCCAAGTCCCCAACAGCCTTGGCTCTTCTCCTACAGAATGTGACAGGTGAGTTCACAGAGCTGAGAACAATGCCTGGCATCACAGATAGTGGAGGGGTCCTTCAAACCTGCCAGTTCTTCCCAGAGCTGTTCCTCTTGCCATCAGTCAGAGCTGGATGGAGTCATTTCTTCTAAGGCACATCCCTCAGAACCTGCTGCCAGAAGAGACAGAGAAGCTCGGGCCCTCAGAGTTCATGGGAATCCTCCACCGGAAGGAAGGTCCACATGGCCTTCAGAGCCTGAACCAGGAAACTTACACCCCAGCTCTGCTGCTAACAACCTCCAGGTCCATGCTGTGAAAGGAGGTGATGATGCCATCCTCATAAGTGTCACAGGCACTAAATAATAAGCTACAACTCTAACCCAAGGGCAGATAGCTCCCATAAACTGCAAAAACTAAGTTTTGAGCTTTTCTTTCAAAAAAAGATGTCCAGCAGTCCAGCATTGGTGTTCAATATTACCTCAAAAAGTGACCTTCCCATGAGGCAGCCCGGCCCATCTTGCAATGTGACACTGAGGTGATGGGATAAAATAGTGACTCTTGGGAACCTCAATTTCTTCTCCTGCAACATGAGGGAGAACCATTTGGTTTTAGTGTTATGACAAATGAAATAAAGATGTGAGATGTAATCCCAGCACTTGGGAGGCAGTGGCAGGAGGTTCCTGAATTCAAGATCAGCTTGGGAGGCACAGGGAGAACCTGTCTCAAAAAAAAGAAAGAAGTTTGACGTTGGTTGGTTCCAGGCTTGAGCCCAGAATGATCGATGAGAAAAAAAAAGATCCCGATCACTGGGCCATCAACAAGGTTAAAAAATAATAATAATAAAAAAAAGATGTGAGATGTGTTATAGGAAATCATTAAATATATTATTATGGTTACTAATGAAAGCCAAAAAATGCAAACCAGATCAGGTTCCTTGATTTGCTGGTCATTCACCAAGTGCCCTAGTAGATTTCTCTAGTAAGTCCCTGTGCACGATCGTTACATGTGACTCTTAGATTCATTTACACTCCAGGGTCCCTTGGAATCAGGGTAGTCCCTAACTTGCTTCCCTTCATGAGGCTTCCAGGGCCCCCTCTATGTGAGGAAGTGACCTACCCAGTCCCTGTCCATGGCCTTGCAGGGGTGACCTGCAATAACATAGGCTGGCAAGATCAGTTTCGATCCTAGTCCAATCTATCAGCATTGATCTCAGATAGGAAGAAAATCCATGTCCTTAGGGCAGATCTAATCTGTCCTTGTCACCAACCCTGCCTGACCTGGGGATTCCCTGGGGCAGGGCAGAAAGATCTAGATTTAGAAGAGTAAAGAGCATTAGAAATCAGACCCTTCAGCTGCATAGAGGACCAGAGGCTTGCTCCAGGGCCCAGGAAACAAGGGTTGGGCTAGATCCCTGGCCTCCCACTCCTAGGTAGGGATGATAGGCAGGGGTGGGGGCTTGGTACAACATTCTCTACTCTTGCTGGCTCAAAGGTCATTTTGGGGATGACAGGATTTTCTGCATGGCCTGTTAAGATGCAGGGAGGGTGAAGGAAAGAGGAGGGCGGGAGAGGGAGGAGGAGCTTCAGGAACTATTTCTAGGAGGCATCTCAGGGCTTCAGGAGTTGTAGGCCAGACCTTGGAAGATTTCCGTGCTGCGTGGGCTTCTGCTTCCCACTAGAGCCCAGCTTCAGAGGGCCTCAGGGACGCCGTGAGGAGTTGGGAAAGAGACATTCTCCAGAGAGGCCATCATGGTCAGCAGGAAGTGCATCCTAATTGGAGGTACCAGTGTGGTCCTGCTGGTGGCCATCACAGCAGTGGTGGTCTTCACCTTACTTTGGAGCACTCAGCCAGGTAGGAGCTCATGCCATCCTGTCTGCCTCCCCTCACCCTGTTTCTCATCCCTTACCCTAGCTTTGTTTGTCTCTTCCATACCCCAATCCTACCGAGACCCCATCCTCAACAGAAGGTCCCGTTGACTTTCTTCTTATCATTTGCCTTATCACCAAATCTCAGTCTTCAGCCCAGGCCTCTCTCTTATCTCCTCAGAGGGACATTTCTTCTTGGGGACCTCATGGGCACCTCCAACTCAGCCTGGTGTCCTGACCTCATACCCCTCCCTTCTGATCCCTGCACCCTCTCAGTGAAGGCTTCCTCTACTCACCCAGGGACCTGCTATAGTGACCTGCCTGTCCCCATCCTGAGCCTTGTGATTCTGTCTTTCCACCTGCCAGCCTCTTTCCCACCAGCTGTGCCCTCAGAGACCTCAGGGCTCTTCTGGTCTGGCCAGCATATGTTCCACTCTACAACGATCAAGCTCCTTTCTTTTTCTTTCTTTCTCTCTTTCTTTTCTTTCTCTCTCTCTCTCTCTCTCTCTCTCTCTCTCTCTCTCTCTCTCCTCTTTTTCTTTCTCTATTTCTCTCTCTCATTTGTTTTTTTTTGGTGGGACTGGGGTTTGAACTCTGGGCTTTGTGCTTGCAAAACAGGCACTCTACCAGGCGCCGGTGGCTTGTGTCTGTAATCCTAGCTACTTAGGAGACAGAGATCAGGAGAATCACAGTTCAAAGCCAGCCTGGGCAAATAGTTTGTGAGACCCTATCTCGAAAAAAAACCATCACAAAAAAGGGCTGGTGGAATGGCTCAAGGTGTAGGCCCTGAGTTCAAACCCAAGCACCACAAAAAAAAAAAAAAAAAAAAAAAAAAAAACAGGTGCTCTACCACTTGAGCCACAATTCCAATCCATTTTGCACTGGTTATTTTTGGAGATGTAGCAGGGGCATCTCACAAACTATTTGCCCTGGCTGGCCTTGAACCATGAACCTCCAGATCTCAGTCTCCCAAGTAGCTAGGATTACAGACAAGAGTCACTGGCACCCGGCTAGGACTAAGGTTTGAACTCAGGGCTTCGTGCTTGCAAACAGGTGCTCTACAGCTTGAGTAAATGCCTCAAGTTTATTTTGCTCTGGTTATTTTGAAGATGGACTCTCATGTCCCCATCTCTGCGAAATCCTCTTTCCTGATTGCCCAGGCCACCACCAGGGCCTCCTTGGTCCAAGAAATCCATGCATTTCCTCTCTCACTGCACTGGGAGCTCTGGGTCCCACTTTCTCTCTGCTGGATGGAGTGTTGGGCACAGCCAGCCCAGGGAGGGTGGTGGGGTCTAACCTGGTCAAGGACTGACCCTTTTGGTACTTGTTCCAGGCTGTGTGCAAGATTCAGTCTGCCGCCCCGATGCAGACATGCTGGACTATCTGCTGAGCACAGGCCAGATCAGCCGCCGGGACGGCCTGCTCGTCACCTGGTACCACGCAGCCAACAGCCAGAAGGAGATGGAGGCTGCCCTGAAAAGTAAGTGCAGCTGCCAGAAGTGGAGGTGGAGGAGAGGGGAGGAAGGAGCAGAGATGATGGCAGCCATTCCCATGTTTGGCATACTCCACCTGAAGAAATGGCACTCAGGGGCCAAGGCACAGGCTCAGGTTGTACAGCTGGTGAGAACCAGGCCTAGGATTCAGACAACTGTATCTTATTCTGTAGTCACCTTTGTACTGCGCTTGCTCGCAGTCACCCTGCCCTCTCCTGTCAGGTGCTTGACGGCCCCTGCTAAGGAGGCCTTTGCCCTCAAGAACTACAGAAGCCAGAGATATGCACTTTAGGTTACCACGATAAGCTCTCCACACCAGAGCAGACTGTGTAACTCCTGGAGTCTCAGATGCAAAGTTATTATGGTAACCATTCAGTTCACTGGGTAGAACACCCCTCACACACACATTACACATGGTTCTGGGGCCACCATGCAGACTGCTCCATGGGTATCATTTACAGGAGAAAAATGGAGGCTCAGAGAAGTTAGGTGGCTTACTCTAGGTTCTGATGTCTGAAAGGGGTGAAGGCAATGCAGGAAATGGAAGCATTGGCCCCTGAGCCCATGCTCTGAGAAATTACATTGTGCTTGAGCCTCCCCACCCCCACCCCACTCCATCGACAGAAAAGTCCTCCTTCAGGACTGTTGGGAAGCTCAGTAGATTGTGTTTTGAATGTGCTGATATGCTAAGTCAAGATGGGAACAGTCCCCAGTCTGCTTCTGAAGGCACAGGGTACTTGGCCCCACCCCCCAGGGTTCCTGATTCAGTGGTTCTCGGATGGGGCCGGAGAATTTGCATTCTAGCAAGTTCCCAGGTGATGTTGATACTGTTGGCTGTAGGACCACACTTGAGAGCCATTGTCCAAGAAATATCTCCTGCCAGGTATGGTGGTGCATGTCTTTAATCCCAGCAGTAGGGTAGGGTGAGGCAAGAGGATCACAAATTCTAGGGCAGCCTGGATTACATAGTGAGATCCTGTCTCAAAGAAAAGAGAAGAAAAGGGAGCCAGGTGCCAGTAGCTCACCCCTGTAATCCTAGCTACTCAGGAGGCAGAGATCAGGAGGATTGAGGTTCAAAGCCAACCCTGGCAAATAGTTCGTGAGACCCTATCTCAAAAAAAATCACAAAAAAAAGGCTGGAGTGGCTAAGTGAAAGCCCAGAATTCAGCCCCAATACTGAAAAAAAAAAAAAAGAAGGAAGGGGGAAAGGGAAAGGGAAGGAAGGTAAGGTAATTCCCAATTTCTGATGAGGAAACTGGGATCCAATGTGGGACAGGGTCTTTTCTAGGTCACATGGTAGATCTGAATAAGAGCAAGGCTTGGGAGCCAGGCTTTAGTTTTTTTCTCTGCACGTTATCTGCAGCCCACACCTGTAGGACTGGTACTAAACCTGAGAAAGGTTTGTTGGATGAATGCATGAGTGAGTGGTCAGGGATGACTTTGCAGAGGAGGCAGGCATCGTGATATGCAGGGAGAGGCTAGGGCAGCCTGGGAGGGTCTGGTTTGCTGCTGCTCTAGGGATTTCCTCAACTGCAGGACGTTGGTGATCAGGACAGAGCCTTCTGCCCAGAGAGGGAACCAGGCCAGAGAGGGGAGGGGAGATAAGGCCTGAGAGGAAGCAAAAAGGACCTGCCACCCCCAGCTTCATCCCAAACTTATCACTGCAGGGGAGATATCTGGGCCCCACTAAGCCGAGGGCCCCAACCAGGCAATCAATGCCCAATAGCAGAGAACACGGAGAGGCACACTTAGCTCAGCTCCAGGGTCCAAATTCTCCCTGAGAATTCTGCCAGGTCTCTAGGGTAGGTCTGGGGGGAGGGGTACCGTCCTCAGGAGAGCAGGCAAAGAATTAGACTGCTGAAGCCACCTTGGATATGACTGGGCATCCATGTGGAGAGGAGAGACCAGGGCACAGAATTGGGTTCAAATTGTATTTTGGTCATTTAATAGCAGTGATTTGGGGCAAGTGACTTCACCAGTCTGTAGTTCAGTCTTCCCCTTGTAAAATGTGGGCTGGCAAGATGACCCCAGCATTTATCATCCAAACTGGGGCAGGTTTGATTGTATCCATAATTGTTCTGCAGCCACAGAAGTGTACCAGATGCTCCCAGGTTACCTCAAGTAAGAGCAGCTTCCCCACAAATAATGATTAACACTTAGTGAATGCCTAATCAGGAATGTTTAATTATTTAATCATTGTAGATGAGGAAACAGGCACAGAGAGGTCAGGTAACCTGCCAGGGGTCACACAGCTTGCAAATGTGAGGGCTAGGACTGGAAACCAGTGTGGATTCAGGATCTGTGCATTCAGCCTCATGCTCTTCTGCCTCAATGCATCAATGTCCCAGCAGGAACTGTGTGTCTGCTGCCCTTGGGAGAGCAGCAGGCCCTCTATTCTGATGGCTCGAGGACCAAGGCTCCTGTTCATCCTCTGTTCCTTTGCTCTCCTACTCCAAGGAAGTCAGCTCCCAGATTCAGCCTCCAGAAAATATAGAGCAACTTTAAACAACAAGGGAGATTTTCCAGGAAGAAGCTGGCTCAAAGTGACCATTTCAGAGAAGCCAATCAGGTCCAGAGTGTGATTTCCAGGGCTGAGGATGTAGTTCAGGGTTGATGTTTGCTTAGCATGCAAGAGGCTCTGGGTTCAATCCTCAGTACAAAAAAAAAAGTGATTTCCATTGGTCTCTGTTCCAATTCACTGAGCATGGGTGTGGCCCCTGCTCAGGGCCACAGTCAGAAGGAGGGTTGAGAGATCCTCAAAGCACACACAGTGTCTCAAAGGAAACAGCAGACAAACCAGGGAGTCAGCACCCCTGGAGGGTCACTGGGACACAGAAACATAGATCCCCCAGCTTCCTCCTAATGCACAGCTGCCTCCCCCAACCCAGAACTGGCCCCATTACAATAGGGAAGGGAACTGTGGCACCCACTCTCCTGAGCTGCCCTCTTATCTGCCGGGCCTTGCTTCTCTATACCTCACGGAGCCCCAAACCCTTTGACACCTCTCAACACATTCTCCAGTAGCCAAAAGTTAAAGGACTTTGTGTTCAAGTCATAACAATGAACTCCACAGTCTAGCCTTCATAAAGCCCTCCACAGCTCAATGGACTCTGAGGTCCACGCCCTGCATTCTGGGGCAATGAGCTGGAGACTTAAAAAAATTTTTATTATATTATTATTGTACTGGGAGTAAGTTGTGACATTTACAAAAGTGCTTACAGTCTATCAGTTAAATTCACCCTCTCCATCATTCTCCTTTATCCCCTCTTCTTCCCCTGAACCGGAGGCTTGTCCCCTTTCTAATTATCTTTTTTTTTTTTTCTTGGAGGTATGGGGTTTAAACTCAGGGCCTCACACTTGTTAGGCAGGCACTCTACCACTTGAGCCATGTCTCCTGCAGAGGCTTGTCCTCTCTTGCAGATGACGATAACAGAGCCACCAAGCTCTCAGCATGAGCTACAAAGCAAGTAGGAAATAGGCTGGGACAAGACTCAGTGTCATAGGGCATGGCAGTGTGCCTGTAATTCCAACACTCAGGAGGCTGAGGCATGTGGGTCGTGAGGTTAAGGCCAAGCTGGATTCCTCAGTGAGACTCCATCTCAGGAAAAAAAAAGAAAAAAAAAACAGTTCCACTCAGTGCTGGCAACAACCTGTCCTTCTCCCTCATGGAAACCCATACACCGAGATTTTAGAGAAACCCAGCTGTTCATCATTCATCAATCATCTTTGAAGCTCTTCTTTGGGTCCTGGAGCCATCTAGACACAGAGAACTCAAGTGCTGCTCAGTTCAGACTGGCACCCGCTGCCATGGAGGGTAGACTCAGGAGGGAGGGTGCTGAGTGAGCAAGTTCACTGTAGGGGCTGAGCAGCCAGGAGAAGGCAGGTCTCACAGAGCAATGACCTAACTTAGAAGAGGTAGACTGCTCCTTGAGGAAGTGATGTTTTCAGGCCACAGCTCTGGGAGCTAGGAGGTGGCTTAGTAACTCTGGAGGGAAGAGGTGGGCAAGGCAGCAGCTATACATAAGAGGCAGGAAGGACATGACAAACAAAAACCTTGCTACTCAAAGTGCAGTCTGGGGACCTGGCAGCACTGGCCTGGCCTCGCTGGGGGCATGTTAACGACATACAATGTCAGTCCACCAGACCTACAGACCAGAACCTACAACTGAACTGAACTGAGTGATTTATGTTAACGATGGAGCAGCTGGCGTAGCTGGAACCCAAGGAATAGGGAAGGCAGAAGGACATAAAATGAGATTGGGAAATGTCAGTCAGACCTCAAAGGCTGTAAGGGTCTAGATTTGACTCTCAGGTCAGTGACTGGGTTTTGGTGTTTTGTTTGGTGGTAGTGGGGTTTGAACTTAGGGCCTCACACTTGCGACACAGACACTCTACAGCTTGAGCCACTCTGTCAGCCTTTGTTTTGTTTTTTTTAACAGGAAGCAACAGAATCAAATATATATTTAGAATGTTCTCTAGTGGTTCTGTAGGGAATGGACTTGGAGAGCCTGGCCAGAGGGGCCAGAGGGTCTGAGTGGACAGGGTCTGTGATCTTGCAGGAGATGAAAGTGGGTCCTCCTTCCACTGCACCCTCCAAAGTCAAGTGCCTCTCACATGGCCTTCCAGAATCTACTGACCCCACTAGATTGAACTCTGCCTGATTGAGTTAAAGAATAAAAATAAACAATGTTATGGGCAGGCAGGATAGCTCCAGTGGTAGAGCACCTGCTTAGCAAGCACAAGGCTCCAAGTTCAAACCCCAGTACCACCCAAAAAACAATGCTTACTGCTAGCGAGGATGCAGTGAAATGGGCAATCACATGAACTTTAGGTGGGAGCATGAGTCAGGACAACTTCTAGAAAGTGATCCGACAATAGGGGTTTTAAAGGGATCTTGTGTTGGTTGCTCCAACTCATTCCACAAGGAGGGATCAAGAATAATCAGATAGTCAGAGGACACCCTCTCTTGGGGACCTCCCCAACTCTGAGGGCTCTATTCTCCCACTTTACGCTTTTCTATCTCAATATAAGCTCTCCCACTTTACACTTTAAGAACAAAATAGGTACCATTGTTTATTAGTTGCAAAACAACTACTACAAACAAATCTGTGTTTCAGGGTCATTACCATAGTGATCACCTCCAACCAGGTTTTTTCAGCCATTTTTTGTTTTAAAAAAAAGTATAAAAGATTGGAGATATATCATAATGTTGAAAGAAAAAACATTTAAAAATTAATAGACGCAGCATAGTGTCCACTGTAAAATATGCATAGACAAAAATGAAAGAAAGAATGTAGGTACTTTCCTCTTTGTTCTGCTTTTCTGAATTTTTCAAATGTTAATAACAAATGTGTGATCTTTTCATAATGAGAAAATGCTGGGTTGTTTTTTTTTTTAAAGCACTGATTGAATTGTGCTTCTTAAACAGGCAACATCCTGGCCTTGGAAGCAGACGTCAATGTGGAAGGGCTCCACACAGCCAACGAGACCGGGGTCCCCATCATGGCGCACCCCCCAGCCATCTACAGTGACAACACACTGCAGAATTGGCTGGAAGTTGTGCTGGCCTCTTCCCAGAAGAGTAAGGGCCCTCTGGTCCCCTCCCCCAGCTCCCCAGCCCTCTGAGCCTTGGGTAGGAGTCGTTCTGTAAGGAGGCAAGGCCGGACCCCAACACATGCTGCCTTGGTCCTCCCAATGCTCCAGATGCCCAGGTTCTGTGAGCACTAGGTGAGATGGGGAGCCAAAGTATATCCATGTGTTCCCTAGTGGACCCACAGTGAGATGGGGACATGCAAGTGAAGATTAAACTGCAAAGTGCAAATGTGATCAGGGTGTCACTCCAAGATCCACAGAACTGGATACAACTGATTGCCAGTTGTAATCAGAAGATAGGTCTTATCCTAACGCCACCCTCTCCCTCCTCCTCCTCCTCCTCCGCCACTTAGCTACTGCACCTGCCACCTCAAACGCCAGGCCCGGTCACATCATCACCTAGACTTCCTTCCTCACTGGCTCCTGCCCCAAACTTAGTCCCTCAAGTCTTCCCTTGACTAACTGCCTCACACTCCTGAGTGATGGTTCCAAAAGGCCGATATTGTCATGCCACTTCTCTACTTTAGCCATCCATGGCTCCCCATTGGCTTGGCCTAGCCTTCAACATCTTTCTCTAACTTCCCAGCCTCATCTCGCCACCCTGAAAAAGAAGGGCATTCATTCACATTGGCCCTCTCTTGCCCTCCCAGAGGCTGAGTGAGCTCCCTACAGGCTCTCGTGGCCCAGGGCCCTCTGCGCCTACCCTGGACAGGAATTGCAGCTCTTTTTTCACAAGCTGCCTATGGTTCCACCCCAAAGGGGACTGAACCCACTACTCTAGAGGCAAGCCCTTCTTCTCTGAGTCAGCTCTACCTGTTTGGAAACCTGTTCTAATTCCCCTCCAGGATCTGGTACCTGTCTTTATTCCTTTTCCCCAATCTCTACCACACACATACCCAACCTGCTCTCCCTGTTTGGTGAGTCATGTCTTCCAGTTCCCAATCCCTTACCGTCTTCCCCCCAGGCATCAAACTGGACTTCAAGAGCATCAAGGCCGTGGGCCCCTCCCTGGACCTCCTGCGGCAGCTGACAGAGGCGGGCAAAGTCCAGAGGCCTGTGTGGATCAATGCTGACATTGTAAAGGGCCCCAACGTGCCCATCTCAATTGAGATCAATGCCACACAGTGAGTGCACACTCCTGTCCCAGCTGTGTCCATACCTCTCCATCATCTGGCATGAAGAGACCTTAGTGGACCTTTGGGTTTGCCTCTAGTCTCACCATATTGTCTCATCTCTGAGCCTTTCCACATGCTGTTAGTCTTGAATGTCTCTCTTCTTTTCGTTTGCTTTTTAAATTTTTTCTTCTGTATGGGGATTGGACCCAGGGTCTTGAGTATGCTAGGCAAGTGTTCTACCACTTGAGCCACAACCCCAGCCCCTTTTCCTTATTCTCTGATGAGCCTCTGCCCACTCACACTGCCTTCATTCCAGGATGTCAACCCCCACACTTCTTCCTAGCACAGCCCTGATCTTGCTGTCACTGTTGGTTCATAGATATGTCACCCCTACTATATTGTGGAATCCTAGAGAGCAGACAGGGCCAAGTTCTGTTGCCCCCGTGGCAAGCACTAGACTTGGCTTGCTGGAAAAGTCTCAAACACCAACTCCCACCCAGCCCTCCAGAAAGTCTAGCACTGCACTCAACCCCCCACTCATATACATTTCCAAGGGATCCACATAAGGAAGCATGTACTTGATTTGATCTCTAAGTAGCACTGCCAGGTTATAAGGGTATTTTTTTCCTCCCATGTTTCAGACCTGAAATCACAAGTAAGTTGAGGCTTACTTTGTTGAGTGTTTGTGTCCTGGCCACTTTACTTGCACCATACTACTTAGCTGTCTTACAGTGAGAATGAAGTGGGTACTATGCTTTTCATTTTGTAAACATAAGAACTATTTCTTTTTCTTCTGTGGTACTGGGGATTGAAGCTAGGGTCTCATGCATGGGAGGCAAGCACCCTACAATTGAGCTACATTGCCAGCCCTTCTGCACTTTGAGACAGGACCTTCCTATGTAGTCCAGGCTGACCTCAAACTCATCTTCCTACCTCAGTCTTCTGAGTGCTGGGATAACAGCTGTGCACCACCACACCTGGCCTAAGCACCATGCTCTTTTCCTCCATTCTTTCCCTCTATCCATCTGTCCTTCCAGTCCACTATTCATGCACAAATCTATATTGTACTTCTCAGACTGAGGTGCATTTAGAAAACGTAGTCAAAGACCCAAGGTAAAAATGGCTTTCTTGCAGGGGCGAGGAAAAACTACATTACTTGCCTATTAAAAATTTGTTTTTAAATCTGAAGCTTCAGAGACTCATAGCTAGCAGAGCCCTAGCCACACACCCTGGGGCTGTGATCCAGTCTCCTGTTCATCCATACAGGGATCTCTAAGAATCTCCATTGTGCTGGAAGGGATGCTGTCTTGGAGAATCATGTTGAGGGACCTGCCCAAGATCAGTCAGGACTTGAATCCAGATATCTCTGACTCCAAAGTGCATGCTTTACTTATGGGACCACAAACCAACCCCTTCTGGTTTTTTTTTTTTTTTTTTTTGGGTACTAGGGCTTTGAACTCAGAGCCTTCACCTTGAGCCATTCCACCAGCCCTATTTTTGTGAAGGGTTTTTCGAGTCTTACGGAACTATTTGCCCAGGCTGGCTTCGAACCGCAATCCTCTTGATCTCTGCCTCCTGAGTAAGCTACCCGCACCTGGCTCCCCTTCTGTTCTTTAGGGATCTGCTGTCCTCAGATTACAGATTTAGTAGACCCTGCCACTTCCTAGCTCTATGACAAGAGCCAAGAGAAGAGGAAGGGTCCAATGTGACTCTGAAAGACTGGTGGCTTTGATTCTCTGTAGGTTCCTGGCGCTGGCCCAGGAAAAGTATCCTGAGGCCACCCTGTCTCCGGGCTGGACCACGCTCTACGTGCCACAGTTGCCGACGGTCACGTACACCCAAGCCATGGTGGAGAAGATGCAGGAGCTGGTGGGAACGCTGCCCCAGAGGGTCACCTTCCCTGTACGGGCTGTTATGGCACGGGCTGCCTGGCCCCTATTCAGCTGGCTGCTGGGCCAATCTGACAGGTGAGAACTCCAAGACTTGTTAAGGACACTGCTGGCTCTGATGCCTGGGGTGGTGGTGGGGGGGGGAGAGGATGATGGTCCATGGGGTCCTAAAGATCATTTTGTCCAAGCCCACTGGTGCTCACACCTGCAATGCCCCTGTCTGGCTGAGCTGGCTTGTTTACCTCTGGTGATGGGCTGCTCACTAACTCCTGGGGGCGGGGGGAGGGGTCCACTGGTGGGTAATTCAGAAATAGGCATTTCAAGGGAGTGCCCCCTCCATCCTCCTGGACCTCTGCTTTCAGGGATGGTACTCCGGGAGAAGGGACTGGTGGAAGACAGGTACTCCATCCCTGGGCCCAGTTGACATCCCCTTCTGAGCATAGAATTGGGGCTGTGGGACCTGCTGGGCCTGGGCCCAGGCAGGGACTAAGCCAGCTCTCTGGGTCTAGGTACAGCTTGACACTGTGGCAGGGTTCCAGCGACCCCGTGTCAGTGGACGATCTCCTCTACATCCGGGACAACACTGCTGTCCACCAAATCTACTATGACCTCTTCGAACCTGTTCTGTCACAATTCAAGGAGCTGGCCTGTAGGAAGGGAACCTGGGGAAGGGGATGTGGCTGGATTCTGGACAGGGCAGCCCTGGGCAGGCACTGGAGCACAGCTGGGGGGACATAACCTCAGAAGGGGAGAATCCTGGGTGGAACAGGAGGCAGGAATCAGTCTGAGTACTTGTCATGCCAATCCCTGAGATGGCATGCTATCTAAAGCATCACATGTATGAAGCTGGAAGTCCGTTTTCTAGCAAGGGAAACAGGCTCAGAATAGTCAATGAATTTATAGTCATTCGCTTATACAAGAGGTGCCTCAGGCCTGAAACCAGCAGATGGTAAGCCCCATATACTTCACATGCTAGCGTGGGTCCTCTGCAGGTCATACTAACATTTCAGAGTACAGCCCCATCCACTGTACCCACTAATCAACATCAGTACTACTGGGAAAGTCCCTGTTCGCTTCACCCTGAGTCCCGGAAAGCCTGCGGTTGAGCCATCTCAGGGGTGGTAACAGACTCAACACTTCTTCTGTGAGAGCCACCTAAGGGGAGGAGGAAGGCTACTAGCTTGAGGTCAGTCAGCCAGCACTGGGTCCATCTGGTTCCATCCCAAAAATATGCTTATTGACTGTAGGACCCTGGACAAATCACTTCTCATAAGCTACCAAAGGGGGAAGTGACAGCCACCTGGTGGGTGGCTATAAGGCTTAGAGAGAATACTGTAGCACTGGGGTATACAGAAGGCACTTCATGAATGGCAGCCACTTCATCTTGGCAATTTGGGGCTCCACAGTGAATGACACCCGGAAGCGTATATACTATACAGGCAGCAGCTTGGTCCCTGTTCTCCAGTCACCTGGGGGCGACGGTCTGGATGTGGAGTGGCTGGTTCCGAAAGTCAGTGGCAGGGAAAGAACAGCAACCATTATCTTCCCTGGTGAGTTAGTCCCCGTCTTGGATCCCCTGGCTAACCTGTGGGGCTGTCTTTTGCTTGGGTGGGTAACTTGAATCTCTTCTCCCACGGCAACATCAGCCCATGTAAGCCACTCACTGGCTACAAAGTGTGAGGAGGGCTGGGGCAGTGCAATAGTGTCAGGAGCAAGGGGCTCCTGGCCTTAGACCAGCACCCTTGATCGCTCAGCATCATGCTGAGGAGTGGGCGCAGGCCCCAGGTCTGAGTCATAAGTAAAGGCCAAGAGCTTTAAAAGGACATAAGGCACAGCACCTGGAGCCCATGGCCTGGTCAACAGATTCATACTAGTCCAGGCACCAACTTCTCTGCTGTCACTGTGACATGCCCACCCCCCACTGCCCCGACACACACTGCCCCTTTAACAAGGGACTCTGGCACATGATAATCTGACTCTCACACCGTTGCCTCTTCCAGACAGAGAAGGGATGATCCTGCTGAACGTTGGCCTCCAGGGAAGTACAGCTGGGAACCCTGTGCCCGTTGTGCTTGTCTCAGGTGGCCCTGTCCTGATGCTGGAGTCATGCCTACTGCAGCTGGCCACGCGCCCCGGGCACTGGGCTGTCCATGTGAACATCGTGGATCCTGCAGCTCTCAGGCCATCCCTGAACACACTGGCACACCTCTCTAGCCTTGGCAACCTGCCTCGACCTGTGTGGGTTGGAGCCACAGTCTCCCATGGGAGTTTTGTGGCCCCTGGCCACGTGATCGGCCAAGAGTTACTTACAGCTGTGGCTGAGATTTTCCCCCATGTGACTGTGGCACCGGGGTGGCCTGAAGAGGTGCTGGGCAGTGGTTACACAGAACAGCTGCTCACAGATATGCTGGAACTGTGCCAGGGGCTCAGGCAACCTGTGTCCTTCCAGTTGCAGGCTGGGCCACTCAGCCAAAGCATGGCAGGAGTGGTGAACAGGCTGCTGGCATCCTCCCCCCAGGCCACCGTCACAGTTCATGACAGCCTTGCCAGGAGCAGCTATGCAACTGTGCGGGCTGGGCTGCTGAAGGCCAGGGCTTTGGACAAAACCCGAGTCTACTACAGGTTATCCCAGGAGTACCGCAAAGACTTCCTGGCAGATGTTAGCAGAAACTGACCACCCAGCCATGCTGGGTCAACCAATGCCTGAGTCGAAGGTAGAGGTACAGAAGGATAAATAAATGCCTCTGCCTTCCTCCACACACTGCATGCGAGCCCTTGGGCAGGATGGAGTAGGCACCTAGAGGGTCTGGAGGCTGGGGGCCAGGTCATTACGGTTGTCCAAGAGGAAGTGCTCACAAGCCTGGAAGGTAGTGTAGAACTCCGAGGAGAGGCCAGCCACATTGGTGGTCACATAGTTGAGAAGGCCCGGGGTGGCCTGGTTGTAGTAGGACACCTGCAAGGCAGGGATGTAGGGATGTAGGGTGGAGTGGGGCACGGGGGACCCTGGTCATGAGGCAGACATGAGGGTCAGCCCTGATCACCCATGTCTCATGAGAGGGCAGTAAGTACAACCCAGCTCCCGGGGGTCCTGGGGGTCAGTTAGAAAGCTCCCCACTTGGTAGGCATGGTCTTGTGGTAGGTCTCCCTTGATCCTCAGGGTTTTGAAAACCCTGGCTGCCCTGTCACCTGCCACATTATCACTAGACACATGGCCCTGGAGAGCAAGGACGGGGTCTCCAGAGCCTAGCAACGAATCCTCTTTAAATCAAGGTGCCAGGGCAAAGCCCAGGCTCACTCTGCGAAGCTCCTTGGTGTATGTGGCAACCCCGGCTGAGTTTCTACCTGGAGGAGACTCAGGGCCAGACTGGTGCTGTAGAGCCTAACTGAAGCTGTGAACCATGTTGGGGGGTAGGTATCAAGGCATCCCCTCTCTCAACCTTCCCCCACACCACCTTTTCAATTAACATTGAATGCCTGGCTTTTATGGGCCCTCAGAGCCATACAAAGTCTTCCAAGGCAAGGCGTATACAAGTAAATGACACGGAATTCTCGATCAGAATCCAGGTGGCCTACATTCCACAAGCAGAGCTTTCTCCAAGCCCCCGGTGGCTTCTGACTTTTCATGGCAATGACTAGATCTTAATGGAGCCTCTATTTCTGCGTGACACTCTTGGCTCCCTTAGGCTGGGAGAGGGAGGATGCTGGAGCGCCAGGTCTAGAATCCTAGTTCAGTAATGAATGGTGCTGGGGTGGAGCCAGGTGGAGAGGAAAAGGGGACACCAGGCCTCACCTTAGTCAACTGGTCCGCTTCACGCCAGAGGCAGAAGCCTGAGCAGAGGATCTCCCCGCGCTGGTACTCTTGTGTCTCGCGGTGTGTGGGCAGTGTGACTGACCTCATGGCGAGGACATAGGGGTCCCTGGAGTGGCAGCAGCATGGGAAGGATGCATGGATTGGCCACAGAAGGAGGTCAGGCCCTGCTCCCTTCCCTAGCACATACCCTCTCTAAACCTGATGCCTGGCTTTGGGCCTGGCTGGAGAGAGGAGACACCTGCAGACACCAGGTTCACCAGGAGCCAATGTGTCCCCTGTAGATTTTCTGGGAAAGACCCTCCACTGTCTTTGTGCAGGAGAAGAACTGTGTGCTTTGGGATTTTCATTCAGCTTCCTGTCCCTGTCCATAGCAGAAGTAATATGTGTCCTGGCCACCCCACCCAGAGCAAAGCTGGCAATTATAGGTTTCCAGAAGATTACACAAGGGATGGCCACATGAGAAGTGCCCTGTTTGTGGCCTTGGGCAAAACAACCTAGGTCACCCAGGCTATAGATAGCTAGGGTACAAGTGACCCGGTAAGGAAGTGTGTGCTTTTGTCTCCCTTTTTATCCGCAGTAAGACCATGACAACCCAGAAAAGACTTATGAGGCCAACAGGAAGCACAGCTCTGACTCCAGGCTATGCCCTACCGGGGAGGGAGATGAGACCACTTATCACACCCCACACAAGGCAGGCACCTACCCGTTGTCACAAGGCTTCCGCCGCGAGGCCAGGATCACAAAGTCCCGGGGCTTGGTATCACCACCAAGGACAGGGCTGATGACATGGTAGATGGCGTCGTCCTCGTCCACCTGCTGTACCAGCTCCACACTCCTGTGGGGAGGCTGGAGCTCAGGGCCCAGGGAGCAACACTAGCCCCTGTGGGAGAACACATCTGGCAACCCCCTCATGCTGTAGCCTCCTTGAGCAATTTCTGTGGACACTGCACCCCTGTATAGTTCAGGAGGGCTAGAAGGCCCAGCCACGGGATGCATGCAAAGACAAGTACTCAAGCAGACATACACAGGCACACATAGACAAGCACACATACAGAAAGAGACACATGCATACACCAGGGCACACAGGCACATAAATGCACACACAAATCCATACAGAAGTACACAAAGGCACACAAACAAGTACACGTGCATACATACCCAGACACATGCGCATACAAAGGCACACATATGCATGAACACAAGTGCACACACAGAGGCATACACTCAAGGAAATGAATGCATACAGACACAAACACGAGCAAATGCACATGTACGTGCAGTTGCAGGGAGCAAAGCCACGCCCACAGGGAGCACATGTGCACAGACCCACAGACACTGCTAAACAGACCCTATGTGCAAGTGCATACACCCCACATATCTGTGATGATAGTAGTTGCACTTAGTATTTAGTAAGCACCCACTGTGTGCCAGGCGGTTTGAAGTGCTGCATGTCTATGTCCTGTGCAGTGGGCACTCTCAGTATCCCTGCTTCATAGATGAGGGGCTGGATTTGGAAATAGCTTGTCCCCAGATGTAGGGCTGGGATATTCAGCCTGTCAGGGGGCAAGCTGCAACCCAGGCCCAGGCCCACAGTACATGCATGCTCAGGTACATGCCCAAAATCTATACAAGGACATCCACACAAAGACACACATGACTGTCTAGATCACTACCTTCCCCTCCAACCTCCCCTACCCTCAGAGGCTGCATCAGGAGCAGAGTGGCTATGGGTTCTCTTTCCCCTCAGGCCACTCCCTTCCTCAAATCTCACCAATATCAATACTGAGCTGCTCCATACCGGCTCATCTCCTCTAATGCCCCTCCCTCACCCAACATCCACCACCCATCACTCAGGCTTCTAGAATGCACCATCAACAAGCCTGGGTCACCCAGACTGGCCTTTTTAAGGCAACAACCTTTCTGCAATGAGATGGTAAGCAGAAATCGAGTGTGTAAACAGCTACAAGTAAGCCTGCTCTGGTGAAGACTGTTGGGGTAGGAAGGGATGGCTAATTTGTGCAAAATAAACTTGTCAGATAGTGGCCCACTGAACTTCCAAATATCTGAATTCCCCTGTAGAAGTACTCGGGACATAGACACCTCATGTAAGTCATTCGACAGGGGGCTGACCAAAGACATTCCCCAAACGAGGGAGTTGGCACAACAAAATGACTTCAGGGGTCTTGAAAACAGTTTAAATGCTAACTTCCCCATGTTAAACACTAAAATTTTGGCTGTTTTCTAAAAACATTTTGAAGGGGGGCATACTGGAGTTTTATCTCAGGGCCTTGCACTAACTAGGCAAGTGCTATACCACCTGAGCCACACCTCTAGCCTGTATTTTCTTCCTCTTGGAGAAATTTATGTAAAGAATCAGCAAATTTGAGGGACAAAGGAATAACATATTCATAGTCACTTGGTATATTCAAAGTAACATTCATGTACATACTTACAAGAAGAATGGGCAAACTTGGTAAATTCTGCAAATTGGCCACTTTATTAGTTAACCTGGTGCCACCTACCCCCTCAGCCTTCCAACACCACCCCCAGTAAACTCAGAGTCCCTTTAAGGCACACAGAACTCCACAGAACATGGTTTGAAAACCATGCATCTATCCCTGAGCACAAATCCATGACCTCCCCCAAGTACCTATTTTAAGGAGGGGTAGGAGGAACAGGCCTAGGCCCAAAAAGGAAGTGACTTGACCAATGTCACAAGTGAGTTATAGAAAGTGGACGTAAGCTCAGGCCTCCAAGTCAAATTCTAGGCTCAATACCTTCACTGGGGGCTCAAAACACCTAATAGGTAACTACAGACCACCCCACACCCACCTCTCCTGGCCTTCACTACCTCCCTACCATGACTGAGAGGGGACCCTTCCCCACCAGTGCCCAGGCCCTCACCGGTAGTGCTTGTCCCACTCGGGCCTCCGGTGCAGGTCTGAGAGCAGTAGGAAGGCCTGGGCTGCATCCACGTGCACCACCATCTCCAGGTGAAAGGAGAGGAACTTGTCCTCCTCCAGAGTGTACAGGCGAACCTGCATGGGATACTGGCAGTCAGAGCTGGAAGCTCAGCATGGCTGCTGACTTGCTGGGTGATTGTAAACAAGTGACAAACCTTTCTGGGACTCAGTCGCATCCCCATGAAAATGGATCTTAGAATTCACACAGACGAATAGGAAGGTGAATTAAGAAGTAGTGACTACAGTAACAGTGAATGAATTCTTAGCACCTCAGCCCTCTAACCCCTAACATCACAGGCCCAGGGCACAGGCAAAAGTGGCAGAGCCCCCATCCCTGCAATGACCCACTGTGTAGCTGGGACAGAGGGAGGGGAGGAGGTAGCCTAGCTGAGAGCAGCAGATATGAGATCAGGGCAAGAAGGTGGGCAGAAAGGAGGGAAGGGTTGGGACTTCTCCACTCAGGCTTTGTGGGGACAGGCATGTTTCTAGAACAGGTGACTTTATGACCGCCCTGAACCTCTCAAGAAAATTGCTTTTGACATAGTATTCTGAGAAAGGCCCTATTGCTTGTCACCAGCCATCTTTGGTGGCTCAGAAGGGAGAAGAGAAGAAAGGCACATGGGCAGTCAGCTACCTGACTGATCTCTGAGGACAGCGTCCAGTTGTCCTTGGCCACAAGCATCTTGAGGGAGGACACATTGTTGTAGCTTAGGTACACCTGGGAAGAGCACAGACAGACAACTACAGACAGACAGCTACCCTCCCAGCCTCTGGAACCGCGGAGTCGGGCCAGGTTGGTGTGGAGGAGAGGAACTGGAACCATGACGGGACAGGTGCTGTAGAAAGAGCTCTGGCTTTGGGAAAAGAGGGTCAGGATGGTCCAGACCGTCCACGTGACCCTGGGTAAGCCGCTCTCAGGGACTCAACCCCACCTCCAAACAGGGGACACAGACCAGCCCTTTGTGGAGCTGTGACAATCACAAGGCAGGGCAAAGGATTCCATGTGGCCCTATTCCCTTCAGTCTCTCTCCTAACCCACTCTAACCAGCAGGGGAGGGCACAGGCCCCGCCATGGGCCCCTGGAAACATGTGCCTTACCTGGTTGCTAGGGTCCCAGGGGACAGAGAGGGGCACTTCTGCCTGCTTACAAGACACGATGTACTTCCTAGAGGGAGGGAAAGTGGCAACTTGGGTCCCCTGGAAATCTACTGCTCTCAGCGAACTTCAGTACCTGCTACTGTGTGCCAGGCCCTGTGCTGAACCCACCAGGGTGAAGACTCCTGCCTATGGAGAAGACTGGACACATGGGCACCCAGAAAACCACCGCCAAGGACAAGTGACCTTGGCTAGCACCCTAAGCAGCTCAGAGAAGACCAGCCAGGGAAGAAGGGCAAGGCTAAGGTTCTAGCCCCAACCCTTTGCTGAGCTACTTCATCCTGTGCTTCAGTGTCTGAGTGTCCTCTGAAGTGACAGGACCCACCTGTCTCAGAGGGTCTTTTTTTTTTTTTTTTAATGAATTCTCTTTTTTTTTTCTTTTATTATTTATATGTGCATACAAGGCTTGGGTCATTTCTCCCCCCTGCCCCCACCCCTTCCCTTACCACCCACTCCGCCCCCTCCCTCTCCCCCCCACCCCCTCAATACCCAGCAGAAACTATTTTGCCCTTATTTCTAATTTTGTTGTAGAGAGAATATAAGCAATAATAGGAAGGAACAAGGGTTTTTGCTGGTTGAGATAAGAATAGCTATACAAGGCATTGACTCACATTGATTTCCTGTGCGTGGGTGTTACCTTCTAGGTTAATTCTTTTTGATCTAACCTTTTCTCTAGTACCTGTTCCCCTTTTCCTATTGGCCTCAGTTGCTTTTAAGGTATCTGCTTTAGTTTCTCTGCGTTAAGGGCAACAAATGCTAGCTAGTTTTTTAGGTGTCTTACCTATCCTCACCCCTCCCTTGTGTGCTCTCACTTTTATCATGTGCTCATAGTCCAATCCCATTGTTGTGTTTGCCCTTGATCTAATGTCCACATATGAGGAAGAACATACAATTTTTGGTCTTTTGGGCCAGGCTAACCTCACTCAGAATGATGTGAGGGTCTTTTTTTTTTTCTTTTGTAGCAAAAGCAATAAAGTTTATTAGGAAAGGAATATACTTTTAGACTGAAAGTGGGTCATTTCTTGAGTGAGCTCGAGAATGACAAATTCTTTTTTGTTTTTTTGGCAGTACTGGAGTTTGAACTCAGAGCCTCATGCTTGCTAAGTCAGAAGGTCTGCACAGGAACAGTGTTTGCCATATGGCAAATGCTCCAGAAGTGTACGTGTTTCTTGGTATCTTTTTTTTTTTGGTGGTACTGCTGGGGTGAACCTCAGGACTTCACACTTGCTAGACAGGTGCTCTACCACTTAGCCACTCAGCCAGCTGTGCATGCTTTTTATTCACAATGGCTTTGGAACCCCAGGCATGTTTGCAGCCTACGGTTTATGTTCCACAGCTCATGAGGTGCTTCACAGTGGAATAAGACACACTGGGCCACTGCATCTCCTTTCTGAACCCTTCTTCATCTGCCAAACAGGCTGCAGACGCAGCCAGGTTCTCATGCTGACTATTGATCACACCTACATGTGTGCAAGCCACCTAACCTATTGGTGTCCTCACCTGTACAATGGGCCACAAGACTGCTGTATGACGGGGCTGAAATGGAAGGCTGCGTGGATGAAAAGGGCCCAGCTCAGTGCCCAGTCCAGGAGCAGCCTTGAAGATCAGTGGGGCAAGGCTTAGGCTGAACCCTGTGTCCCGCCCCCCCACCCAGCCCCCACTCACCTATCCAGGCGGATCTTCTTCCGGGCGCTGGCCTCTCGGTATCGCCGCTCACCCTCCTAGGAAGAAGCAGGGACTGGCTGTGGTGCAGGTGGGACCACCAGCTAGTCCTAACCATACCCTGACTCTCCCCCAGGGCTAAAGGAGGCCCTGCAGCCCAGAAGAAAGCTTAGGTCTCACTAGGGCAGCTGGAGTCCAAACACCCTGGCAGGGAAAGTGCCAGGGCCCCAAGCTGCAGCTCAGTTCCCCTAAGAGCCTCTGGTGATCTTGGGAACACCACTTCCCCTCACTGGCCTCAGTTTCCTCCTCTGTAACATGGGGGGTCCTCAGAGGGCACACACAATGGTACTCAGAGCCCACATTACTGGGCATTCTCATGATGAACCGCCCCTCTTCCCAAGTGCTCTCCTGAATCCCATCTGCTCCACCCAGCAGCCCCTGAGCTTGGTACATACTCGCCCCACCTGCAAGGAGGAAACTGAAGCTCAGAGGGTTCAGTAGCTTGCTCAAGGTCACAGGAGTGTGGGATGGAGCCTGGATCAGAACTCAGATGGCCTGTCTTGGAGCCCCCTGCTCTACCACCAACTCTACAGCACACAGGGCAAGTACCTGGGGCAGCTGCTGGACATAGCTCCCTCCCCAGCCCTACCCTCGCTCACAATCCATGCCTGTCCAACTCCCTGAAGACAGCAGCCCATTATGGGCCTGTGAGGTGGGCAAGAAGGCAGAGCAGGGGACCTTCCCCAAGAGAAGGAGCCACCTCTCTCAGGTCACTGCCTGGGTCCCAGGAGTACAAGCAGCATTTCGTCATAGACGGTCTTTGAGACCAGGTCTGACACTAGTCCCTGTGCCCTTGCTGTAATGTTACTATGGTCCTGACAGTCACCACTTCCTGAGTGCCTGCAGGGCTTTGCCTTGCAGAGTCAGCACCCCATGTACCCCCGGCCCCTGGAGGCAGGGATCACAGATACTCCCACTTTACAGATGGGGACTGAAGCTTGCATGGGGTTCCTATATAGAATGCAGCAGAGGTGAGGTTCTGGTGCCCTTTGGCCCCCAAGTCAGGGTTCTCCCCAGTCCTATAGTCTTATGCAAGCCCACTAACACCCAACGCCAGCCAGACTCCTCACACATTCCAAGTTCTGTCATACAGAGGAAGGAGCCCACCTTCACAGGGGGGGAACCCTGAGGTCAGAATCAAGAAATCAGAGCTGGCTGTGCCCAGCAAAGAGGTAGGGCTGACTCCTCACTCCCATATGCCCTTGAGCAGAGAAAGAAGGGGGGGGGGGTGGGGCAACAGGGTGCCCCCCCCCCACTTACCCCAGGTTGGGGCTGAATCCAGGGCAGCTTCCGGGGCTGGTCATCTGCATCCAGGACCACAAAGGTCATGAAGGCACTGTTGATGTGCCGCCTCTGGGTCTCAGCCTCCTGGCGATAGGCCTCCACACACACGCCCACCTCCATGCTGAGGGGGAGACGGGGAGGGAGGAGAGGAGAGGGAAAGAGGGCTGCTGCCCTGCTGGATATGCCTTCCCCAGGCCATGCTACTCCCCAGTGCACAAGTACTTGTGCACACACACTACATAAGATGTGCACACACACTCTCCTGCAGTTCAAACAGCACCCTGGACCAGAGTCACACTGCAGGAACCTGTAAATCCCCTTCCATCAGTTTTTACAGAGCGCCTGCCATGTGCCCAGCCTGTGGAACACAGAAATGAAGAAACCTGTCCAGTCCATGCACCTGGCTAACAGCCAGGGGATGAGGCAACAAGCAAGGAAGCAAAGATATAAAAATGTAGTTATAAACAGCAAGGGGAGTCAAGCGTGGGGTTACAGTACATGTTTATAATCCCAGCTACTTGGCTGGCTGAGACAAGAGGATCAAGAGTTCAAAACAAACACTCCACAAAGCAAACAAGAGAGTTGGAGGATGGCCTAGTTAGAAAACATGCTCACTCTACACAGACTCCCAAGCATGGTGACAGCCATGTGACAGCTCAATTGCCACTGTCTACATCAATCTTAGCTTTTTGTTTGTAGGCTTGTTTTCTTTTTTGAGACAGGGTCTCACTATATAGCCCAGGCTGGCCTCAAACTCACAACCCTCCTGCCTTTACCTCCCAAGTGCTAGGATTACAGGTGAGTGCTGCCATGCCCAACCTGGTTTTTTTTTTTTTTTTTTTTTGCGGGGGGGCGGTGTTGAGGATGGAACCCAGGGCCTTGTGCATGCTGGGCAAGCACTCCATCACTGAGCTAGGCCCACAGCCCTTGTTATCATCATTAACTATAAAACAGCAGCATCCACTGGTCCATAGTGTAGGAAATTCTGTGATTCCAGAAGGTGGACCTTATACAGATTGGGAAACTAAGACCTAGGACAGGGCAGCAATTTACCCGTGCTCACAGAGCCAGGTGATGAGGACTAAGCAGGAAAGTGAGAAAACCTGATGGCTGAGAAGCATGGCTTGATGCTAATAAGAAATCCCATCCTGATTGCTGATGGTGACAGAACAGCTTGTGACATACTGCAGGGTCTTGCTGACTTGCAACCCCTGGAGCCCATAAAAAATAATAGTCCCAGTCTGACCATCCAAGGCCAACAGCTCTCTCTACCAAGACGTGGAAGTTATTGATGACACCCAGCCCAGTTTTCCAGGACCAACCAACCCCCACTGTACTGACCCCAATAAAGGCCTGAGGTCTTGAGACCTCCAGCACAGCACTCCTTTTTCAGTCTGCCTGCCCTCCCACCACAGGGTGCACTTTTGTTTTCCTTTACATAAACCTGCCCAACTCCCTGCACAACGCTGCCCACTGTCCTATTAAAATCCTTGTTTCTCCTACTTGCTTGTCTTGGTAAATTCTTTTACCAAGCCATGACACCAAAAATCCCCAGCAGGGAAGAGAAGCTGGAGGAGAACCAGGCCCCAAAGCTTCTGCAAAAGAGATTTCACACAGCCACAGATCATGTGCTGGTCAGACTGCAAGTAATAGCAGCAGCAGTCTGGCTCCAGTGGCTTGTGCCTGTAATCCCAACTATTTGGGAAACTGAGATCGGAAGAATCATGGGTGGAGGCCAGCCCAGGCAAATACTTTGCAAGACCCCACTTCCAAAATAACCAGAACAGACAAAAATGGACTAGAGGTGTGGCTTAAGAGGTAGAATGCCTGTTTGCAAGCATGAAGCCCTGAGTTCAAACCCCAGTCCAACCAAAAAAAAAAAAGCAGCAGCAATAACTGACCATCACTGAATGTTTTCCCTGGCATTCTACTAATAACACCAACTATGAAGAGATTGTGGTGAGCATTTTACTGGTAAAAGAAACTAAGCCTCAGAGAGGTTAAATAGCTTGCTAAAGGTCACACAGCCGGTAAGAAGCGCAACCAAGTTTGAACTCAGGCAACCTGGCTTCAGAGCCCTCACTTTTAGTGATCACACCATGGTCTCTGAAATCACCAAAAATGACACCTATTTCAAGTCAGCTTTCATGGGAGGAGGTTTCAGAATTCACTGTAAAGGAAAGGACTATGAGGACTGCTTGTTTTAAGAAATGGTGGAAAGGGTCTCATAAACGACCCAGTACTGGCAAGAAGAGGCCTGTGATCTGTGCTGCTGCAGTGGCCAGTGCAAGAGCCAGGGCGGGGGAGAGAGAGCTGCACGTGGTGTGGTCCAGGGCAGAGTCTGCAGAGCCCAGAGGAGGGGTCCCAACCTAACCAGGGTGAGCAGCAGCAGGAGCCAGGCAACCTTCCGGAGAGAACACCAGATGAATCTGGGTGGAGGAGGAGGACCCAGCAGCCGGGCAAGGGCAAGGGACCAGCCCTTGTCTGCAGAGCAAAGGGACCCTGGCATGTCTGCGTTAAGATCCTTTCTAGGGTCGAGATGCACCCTCGTCCCCGGTGATGCTCCCTACCCGCTCACCTATGCTTGAAGGCATTGTTCACGATGGCCTTGAACACCAGACGGTCCCCAACGTGGGATGGGCCTCGGAAGTGGAACATCTCGATAGCCTTCAGCGTAGGGTGGGCACGGCAGAGCCGACTGTGAGAGACAGGAGAAATGCGCCCCTGCTTCAGCCATTGGCGTGGGCCAGCCTTCTCCTGTCCCATCAATGAACCCAGCCTGGAACCAAATGTACTGCCTTCTTGGCCCAACCAGGGGTGACAGTTCTGCTGAGAGGCACAGCATTAAAGACCCATTTCACAGCTTGGAATACTGAGTTCTATGCACATGGCTGGAAAGGAGCTGAGTCTGATCTGACAGAAGAAAGCCTAGGGCAGGGTGTGAGGCAAATGCCTTCCCCACCTTCCTTCCAACATTTGCACCTTAGTACCTGCTGTCCCTCCTTCTGCTACAGGAAAGCCCTCCCCTCTCACAAAACCACTTGCCATTTGAGGCCCTACTGAAGCACTCCTCCTCCAGGAAGGCTTTTCTGACTACCCAGGCCCTTATCCTCCTCTGAGATCTCATTACACTCACAGCCCCCCCACCCCCCCACCCCCTGTTGACCACAGAGGAGTGGCCTGGGCTGGGCTCTAAGGATGAGGAAGAACCCGCCCAGAGGAGGAGGGTGTGGGTTGGGGAAGACACTCTTGGCAGAGCGAATGGCAAGTACCAAGCCACGGAGGTATAAGAGTGTCAACTAGTGAATGCCAGTTATCATAGAAATCTTTAAAAACCTGATATTCAGGGCAGAAGGAGCCCCAGCCAGGCACAAAGATTATAGGAAAAACAGGAACTGTTTTCACCACCAGGAGGAAGGGAAAAGACGCCTATGGAGAAGGTGAGCAGGTTAGCTGACAAAGCAGAGTGCTGGAGGGTGAACAGAAACCCTAACCCTAACCCTAACCCTAAAGCAGATACCTTAAAGCAACTGAGGCCAATAGGAAAAGGGGACCAGGAACTAGAGAAAAGGTTAGATTAAAAAAGAATTAACCTAGAAGGTAACACCCAAGCACAGGAAATCAATGTGAGTCAATGCCCTGTATAGCTATCCTTATCTCAACCAGCAAAACCCCTTGTTCCTTCCTATTATTGCTTATACTCTCTCTACAACAAAATTAGAGATAAGGGCAAAATAGTTTCTGCTGGGTATTGAGGGGGGGAGCGGGAGGGGGTGGAGTGGGTGGTAAGGGAGGGGGTGGGGTCAGGGGGGAGAAATAAACCAAGCCTTGTATGCACATATGAATAATAAAAGAAAAATGAAAAAAAAAAAAAAGATTATAGGAAAAACAGGAACTGTTTTCACCACCAGGAGGAAGGGAAAAGACGCCTATGGAGAAGGTGAGCAGGTTAGCTGACAAAGCAGAGTGCTGGAGGGTGAACAGAAACTGGCCAACAGTTTGATCTGAAGGAGCACAGTGACTAGGAGAAGCACAGGCAGGGCCGGACAGAGAGGAGGCTCCAGGGCCAGGCCGAGGAGGATGGTGTTCTCTGTGGGTCACAAGGATCACGATGAGCTTGAGTAGAGGAAGGAATGGCCAGTTCATTCCTTCCAAAAATCCTTTCTCTCCGGTTCTCTGGGCCCGAAAGCCCTGGGTCATCCTAGCAGAAGAGCAGGGGTTTTCTGCCAAAGGAGCAGCCCCACCTGGCTGCAATGGTGGCTACATTCTCCATCCAGGGGTGGGTCAGGGGGGAGAAATAAACCAAGCCTTGTATCACATATAATAAAAGAAAAATGAAAAAAAAAAAAAAGATTATAGGAAAAACAGGAACTGTTTTCACCACCAGGAGGAAGGGAAAAGACGCCTATGGAGAAGGTGAGCAGGTTAGCTGACAAAGCAGAGTGCTGGAGGGTGAACAGAAACTGGCCAACAGTTTGATCTGAAGGAGCACAGTGACTAGGAGAAGCACAGGCAGGGCCGGACAGAGAGGAGGCTCCAGGGCCAGGCCGAGGAGGATGGTGTTCTCTGTGGGTCACAAGGATCACGATGAGCTTGAGTAGAGGAAGGAATGGCCAGTTCATTCCTTCCAAAAATCCTTTCTCTCCGGTTCTCTGGGCCCGAAAGCCCTGGGTCATCCTAGCAGAAGAGCAGGGGTTTCTGCCAAAGGAGCAGCCCCACCTGGCTGCAATGGTGGCTACATTCTCCATCCAGGCCATGATCTGGCCCCCGAAGGTGTTGCCCTGGTGATTGGCGTGGGGAGGCAAGACCAGCTCCACGCTCTCCACGCGGGTCTTCTCAGCTGGCACCATGTAGCTGTAGTCTTTGCTGTCCAGATCTGGGCAAGAATTGGGTACAGATAGGGGGTCACAGAGAAGTGAGAAGGTACCCAAGGACAGACTCTCCTACTCCACTCTATCTTGGGACTTTAATTTACTCAACAGCCAGTGAGCACGAGGCCCAGACTAACCCTGGATGAGGAACACAGGACATGGGAGGAAAGGCATGAGCCTGTCACAGGGCAGTGGACAGAGCACTGGCTGTGAGATAAGGCACCTGGCTTGAACCCTGTCCCAGCCCACATAGGCTGTATGACCTTGAGCAAATCACATGACCCCTCTGGCCCTTGGCTACCCCATCTGCAAAGGTCAAATCCATCCTGACAGGACTGTCAAGGTGAAATGTGATCATGCTTATAAAGTGCTCAGTCAGCTCAGTGGTTCTGCTCTGAGAAGGCCAGTTCGTCCCACCCTCTGCCCTACAAGGGTCTCTGTCCCTTGCCGTTGTGGTGTTAGGAGACACTCAGTAGGAGAGGCAAGAGAGTAAACAGGGCCCTTGACTTCCGAGCAGCAGGCGCCTACATGCCAAGGTGGTGGCATTTCTCCAGTGAGTGTCCCCTGCAGGGAGACCCAGCAGAGAAGTGGCATTTCACTCAGCTTGCAGGCCTTCTGAGATGCCACAGGTAGAGTGGGGACCAGGAAATGGAGGCTGAGGATGGCCGGAGCCCAGGACTGGAAGTGGACATGGGCAGGACATTTGCAGGGCACTGAGGCCTTTGGCTCAGCTGGAGCTGGGGAAGTAGAGCAACAAGCTGAGCAGTCAGTTTGAGGCCCAGATGCCAGGCTAAGGCATCTGGACTGACCCATTGGGAGAAGGCTATCGGGACAGGAGGGGCTTAGGGAGTCTTCCATGGACTGAAGGGGGGTCCAAATGGCCAGCTAGAAGAGCTGGGCTTCCCCCACCCTGGCCCCCAGCCCAGCACACAGGCTCAAGGAATTTAGAGCTCGGCTTGCACTTTCACTGAGGTTAGCTAGTTTCTCCTGTTCTCCCCAACCAGGGTAGCTGAATTATCTTTTATTTGTCCTAAAATTGCCTCCCTTGGATTTCAAGGAATACCTCAAATTTACAGTATCTGGACATTTTACAGATTGGTTAAAAAAAACAAAAAAAAACGAAGTTTCCCCATCTGGGTCTTTGCCCAGACAGTGTCCCCTGTTGGGAACATCTTTCCTCACCTCTCCACCTGTCAAGTCCTACCCAGTCCAAAGCAGACTTTCATGTACGGATATACAACAGCCTCCAGAGACACTTTTTGGTGGGGAGGAAGATCAAGATACATAACAATATGTCCTATACATTCCCTTTTGGGGGAAAACAGGGAACTAAATAATACTCAGCTTAAGTACACAGGAAATACTTCTGGAAAGATATTTAACAACAGGTAGCAGTAATTGCTTCTGGGAGGAAGGGGACTGGGTTCTGAGATAGGAGGAAGTCTTTTTAATTATATCTTTTTTGGGGGAAAGAAGAAAATATATACAACTTGTATGCAAATGCTATTTAAAAACTCCTATAAGTCTTCAAGGCCTAGCTCAACACTACCTTACAACACCATGGCTCCTGGAGGCCGAGATGCATTTGTGACAAAGGTACTTCATCTTCATAGTTCCCGAGGGCTGTGCAAAAGGCCCCAGCACTACGTTTTCCCTGGAGGAGACCATGAGGCCAAGAAGGCTAGAGGGGTCTAAGGCCACCAGGGCACAGAGGTCCCTTGGGCATCCCCTCCTCCTTCCACCAGTGGGCCCAGGACAGGGAGTGTTCTGGCCCCATCTGCCCTCCTGGGCATGTGCCAACTGCTTACCATCCTGGATGGCACAGCGGGCCAGGAGATCCTTGATGGTGTCTGCATAGACCAGCCGCATGCGCCTGCGCTCAGCTGCCACTCCGTGCTCAGTCTTCTCCTCCTCTGTCCTGGGTATGACCTGCTTCAGCTTTACCTGTTGGTCAGGGAACAGGTAGGGCTGCTCAGGACAAGGTTTCTGAAGTAGCACAAGGGCCTGTCTCCCAGCCCCACCTCATGCCTGAGACCAGTGCCCACTAGGCTTTGGCTGCTCTGGGCCCTTCCCTGTTCGTGCCAACCTTCCTCCTTCACCTTGACCTGATTCATCATATTCAGCCTCCAAATGCCACCCCCAGACCTTCCCCTCGGGCAAAGGCCCAGAGAACAGGACACGAGGCATGTTTGAAGAATCCTCCTCCCATGAGATGTACAGGGAAAGGACAGCACATGGGTTGGATCCCAGTGGGCCCTCCTTGGGGACTGTGGATTGCTGGTCTGGCCTATTGTGACAGGCAGCACTGAGGTACCCGGGCAGCCGCCTACCTTGGAGAGCTCCCGGTGGGCCACAAAGGTGGCCAAGGCCTTGCACACACTCCACTGCTTCTCGGAGCACAGGTCCTCAGAGGTCACCTGTATGCCCACCTGGATAGGAAGAGGAAAGATGGAGGGGGGAGGAAAAGAGCCCATCACTTAGAGGCCCTGAACGGAACCAGACAGGAAGCACCACCCAGGCTGGACCTCTGGTGTTTCTGTGTCATCTGCCAGATCTGGAAAACTGGGGACCTGGGGTTGGTTCTGACTCTGCCCCTGGCTCCCCAGGAAACCTTGGGTAAGTCACTTGCCTTTTTTAGGTCTTGGTTTCCTCATCTGTAGAATGGGAGTAATTATAGAGGATTAAAATGGGACCTGTCCACAAAAGGACTTCAGTAGGTAAATGTTGGCAAAATTTAAAGGATTGAAATCTAGGGTTTCTATGGAGCACCTAAGCATTTGTGGGGTGCCCAGAGACATAGTCAGGCCTCTGCTGTCCAGTCTCAGTGGCTGGGTGAAGTTGGCTGGGCCTAAAGCCCTCCCCCAGCATTCACAGTCCTCCCCAAGCTCGCACAGTCCTCCCCAGGCACTCACGTCCTCCCTTTAAACCTTCTACACCCGGCAACCCAGGAATCATGGTCCTATTTTACAGATGAGGGGACAGAGGCTGTGAAGGTAAGCTAACGGATCAAAGCCCAGTGCTGTCCCGTGGCAGCCCTTGGCCTCCAGGATCAGGCTCAGTGCTATCTTCCCTCCACTCCCACACAGCCCACTGCTAAAGAGAGGGCCTGGGCCAGGGGACAAAAGTCAGTCCCACCAGCATCCATGTGGCTCAGCAGCCTGAGGCAAAACCTGTGCTAGGCTCCCTCTCCCTTCTGAGCTGCAGAATACTGGCCTCAGGTCTTGGGTCCTCTAGCTCTGCCAGACATTTCAGAACTGGACTGCCCTAACCCAGATCCTGCAAGTGTGAGTGGCCTGGGCCGCAAGGACAAGGAGGAGGAGGACAACCACCCCCCACCCCCAAGATGGCCCCACACACCTCCATGCTGGAGTTGAAGGCCCGGTTCACCTTGGCCTTGACATTCACCACTTGGCCGACACTGGGGAGAGGAAAGCAGGAGGTAAGCCTTCTGGAGGGAGCAGGGGAAGGGACAGGGATCTCAAATCCAGAGCCATTGTTCAGGAGACTAGCAGGAAGACTTCAGGGCTCCCAGAACATAGTCACATCTGCAATGTCACCAAGCCAGCTAGCCAGTGTAGCACCCTTCTGACAGGTGGGGATGCTGAGGCTGCAAGACATGGCCACGTTCAGTACCTCCCTGCTTCCCTCGCTCCCATTCAGTTAGTGCTGCGCTTCTTTTTGCTTTTGCTCTTGACTGAATGCTTCACTCTTCAGGGCAGCCCTCCTGCCCTCCAGTGTCCCCTGAGGGCCACCCTCCAACACTCACAGCTCTCAAGTTCCACTGTGGCAATAGCCATATGTGGTTTTTGATTTGTTCTGTTTTTGCAGTGCTGGGGATCATACCCAGGGCCTTGTGCATCTGAGGAAGGGCTCTACCACTGAGCTGCATCCCAAGTCCAAAGGATCATGTTTTGCTTACCTTTGACTCACCAAGGCCTACACAGGACACAGGGTGGATCATCCCTAGACAGTGGCTAGTTGAATTAATGATTGCATATTTATTGAATGCTTACTAAGTGTGATTAAAGAGAAAGGGTAGACAGGGAAATGGAAATATTTGAGGAATGCTTGCTACGTGCCAGGTGCTGTGCACTACAACATTTGAGCCTCTGAACAAGATTGGCACGTAGGTTTAGGGAGGACTAAACATCAGAGAAGTTAAGTCATTTGTCCAAGGTCACCCAGCTAACAAGTGACAGGGCCAGGATTCTAGGCTGATTGTGTTGGCTGCACCAGCCCCCACTCTTTCCAGCTCTAACCTGTCCTTCTGCAATGATTTCCACATTCATGCCAATCCCCAGGGGAGCCACCCAGCTGCCCTATGCCTAACTGGAGGCAGCAGAGGGTGCCCAACTAATGAGCTGTGGAGGAGAGGGGGTAGCAGGCTGGAGAGCTGGCCCTGTCCAATCACCGTGTGACCCCAGAAGTACTTTCCCCTCTCTGCGTCCTGGCTCGTGAACATGCAGAACAGTGCTGATTTCTTCCTCCAGTAACACTGCCTCCTGCCCAAGCCTAGAAGGGTCCTTTCCAAGCAGCTGCAGTAAGCCCAGTGACTGGACTGTCACACCACCAAGAGTCGCTTCACCTCTCTGAGTCTTCCCTCGTGTGTAAGGTACAGAGAATGCATGCGCACTGTCTGTGCTTCCAAGGGCCAGGTGAGAGGCAGTGCGACTCAGCTGAGTACCAGGCCTGGCTCAATAAGGGGCTCAGAGAGTAGTCACCTATGCTCACAGTCATTGCACACTTGACTTCTGTGACTTGTTTTCCCTGTACTGGGGTTTGAACTCAGGGTTTTATGCTTGCTAGGCAGGTGCTCTACCTCTTGAGCCATACCTGCAGCCCTTCTATGAATGTTTTGACCAACAGTCATGTGGGAGGGCCATTTGCAGGAGATTCCTGCTGACATGTGGAGGGACAAAGCCCCATGTCTGCAGCTCACTTTCAAATAGGGCAGAACAAAGGGCTGGGGGAAGTGGTTCAAGTGGTAAGAGCACCTACCTAGCAAACGTGAGGCCCTGAGTTCAAACCCTGCTGCCACCAAAAATGAGACAGAGAGGAGATATGTCATTATTTACTCATATGCAGATAAAACAAACTGAGCAAAATGCTAATCTCAGCAAAACTGCATCTCAGTAATGGTGACCATTTCACTACTTGATCTTCTAGGTATTTGTAAGTTTTCATGATCAAAACTTTAAAAAGAAAAATAAGTATCTATAATCCCCAAAGTACAGCAGTAATCCCCACCCCACCCCAATCCATGGCTTCAAGTTCCACAGTTTCAACTGCCTATAGACAACAATGGTCTGAAAATATTAAGTGGAAAATTCCATAAATAAACAATTTATAAATTTTTATAACTTTTTTTAAAGTATACTATTATAATTAATTATTCTATTTCATCATTAGCTTTTGCTATTAATCTCTGATGGTATCTAATTTATAAATTAAATTTTACCATAGTTATGCATCATAGGAAAAAAATCATAGCATACATAGGGTTTGGTGTCATCCAGTTTCAAGCATCCACTAGGAGTCTTGGAACATACTGCCCACAGATCAGGGGAAATGCTATAAAAATAAAAATCTGTTTTCTGTGTTGTTAAAAGAAGGCTGGGCAAGGCGCCAGTGGCTCACGCCTGTAATCCTAGCTACTCAGGAGGCAGAGATCAGGAGGATCGCAGTCTGAAGCCAGACTGGGCAAACAGTTTGTGAGACCCTATCTCGAAAAAAACTTATCATAAAAAGGGCCAGTGGAGTGGCTCAAGACGTAGGCCCTGAGTTCAAACCCTCAGCATCACAAAAAAAAAAAAGAAGCCTGGGGGGCTGGAGGTGTGGCTGAAGTGGTACAGCCACTTCCATGCCAACACAAAGCCCCGAGTTCAAGGCCCTATATTTTGAAAGTCAAATAAAAGAAGGCTAGGAACGTGCTCCAGTGGTAGAGAACTTGTTTAGCATTTGTGAATCCCTTGGTTTGACCTATAGCATCACACACACACCAAAAAAAGCTGTGATGCTGAGATAAATATGTGATTCTCACCCATCTTCCTCTTCAGTTCCCCCCAAACCAAGCAGAAACCCCTCTGAGCTTCTCTTCCTTCCTAACTATCCTCCATTCCAACATGGGCTCCTTCCCCAGGTCACTGCCCAGCCTTCTCAGAAACTCTAAGCCTCTAACTTCCAAACACCCTCCAGGCATTCTTTGCAATGCAGGGGTACCCCCCACCAGGTAACCAGACCCCAGCAAACCTATCCCTAGGCCCCATTTACTCTCAGGGAACAAAGGGCCATGCTAAATACACCATGGTGACACTAACAGCAAAACCCAGATGATGGGGAACTCCAGGCCTCCTCAACAAATAAATTTCACGGAAAAAACAGAGAAGGGGGGAGAGAAGAGGGGAGAGAGAGAGAAGAGAGCTGGTACCAGAGGTGAGGAGAGTTATCTATAGATTAAAAAAGACTTAGACACAGCAACCAACTGACTTGTGAACTTAGGCAAATAAATTCCTGACTTGAGTGTCAAAAATGTCTGTAAAGCAATACAAAATGAAAACAAACCCGGGAGTCAGTGTGGGCATCTGAAAACTGACTGTACACTGATGTCAGTGAGAAGTTATTGTTAATTATTGGAGTGTGGTTAATGGCATTGAACTCATGTTTAAAGAGAGTTCTCAGTCCTTAGGGATTCATTTGGAGATATTTTTAAATAGCTCAGCTGTCCTCAGGTGGCATTTCTCAGCCACCAACCATGCTTCAGGCTCTCCCCAGCACCCTCCTTCCCAGGATCCTCTTCCCATTCCCTGCCACCTCCTCTGTCCAGACTCACCCTCATCTGCTGGGCCCTGCAGCAAGCCCCTCCATCACGCATGCTCCCCAGCCCTCTCCATCCCTAGTTCATCCAGGAAGAGCTTCCCTTGTGAGACACAGAGACCAGAGCAGTCCATACATGGCAATACAGCTTCCAAAGAGCCACCGGGCACAGGAAACCTCTCCAGGAAGCCCCCTGACTACCTTCCCTGCCACCTCCATCTCTGGACCTATACGAGATTAAAGCCCACTGATAAGAGCAAAGACTCTGGGGCCAGACGGCTGCCTGGTAGAATCTCTGGGTCCTCCACCAGCTGTAAAACCTTGAACAAGTTACCTCACTTCTCTGTGCCCCAGTTTCTTCCTCTGCAAAATGAGGATACTAATAGCCATGACCTCATAGTGTTGTCCTGAGGGTTAAATAGGTTAATATATTAAAAAGCATTCCAAATAAGGTCTGGATATTGGTGTACCAATTGTGTCAGGGGTATCTTACAAATGTAAGATGTTAATAACAGAGGAACTGGGGGGGAGGTATATGGGAAGGAAAGAGTGCCAGGCCCTGGGTTCCAATTCTCACAGCCAATACTTTTTTTTATAAATCTGAAATTATTCTAAAATAAAAAGTATTTGGAAAAATATGACAAAGCACCATGTGTCAGCTCATTATGAGTGTGGAATGTCACACTTTGCTGTTGTTGCCACGTTGGGGAGCAAACCCAGTGCCTCATACGTGCTAGGCAAAGGTTCTACCTCTGAGCTACATCCCTAGTCTGAACTTCTCACTTGGAGTTCGCACTTGCAGACTGGGAGCTCCTAGGCGCAGGACTGTGCTCTTGTAGACTCTCTCTCCTCAAACCCAGCACAATCCAGTCCATAAAGGTGTCCAACTAGCTGTAAGTATACAGTGACAATGTGTCGTCCCAGGTATAGGTGGCACATTTAGGAGCAGGCCTAGAGATAAAAGCTATGAATGCAGCCTTGCAGCCTGTCCTGGACCGAGGGCTCAGTGTGCTCCTTGCACCCCAGAAGCAAGACAGGGAGCAAAGGCAAAGCTGTGGAGAGATAAGCTCTGTCGGTATGATGAAGAGCTTTGTACACAGTACAGCTATTAAAAAAGAAAACCAGCCAAGTGTGATAGTGCATACTCATAATCCCAGAACTTGGGAGGCTGAGGCAGGAGATGAATTCTGGGTAAGCTTGAGTATATGATGAGACACTGTGGCAGAGTGGGGGGATGGGAAGAGGTGTAGATCCATCTTCATAAACAGAGGGTGACTGGCTCAGGCTTTACCAAGGGTCCTCATCAAGGGGCCTCCCTAGAGAACAGCGATCAATGACCCACAATAAATGTCCAATCTCACTGACCAAATCTAATCCCTGCCATTTTATAGATAAGAAAATTGAGGCCCAGAGAGACCAAGTTCCCCAAAGTCACACAGTACCCTGTGATAACATCTCAGCAACATCCAACTGCAAACCTGAAGCAACTTCCCTGGCCCCACCCTGGTGGAGGAGCACACTCCATGGCACCCAGCAGCAGGTAATTCCTAGCCCATTGTTGTGCTGAAGACCCTGGAGTCCTTGTCCCCCAGAGGCTTCCCTCATCCCATTTCAAAGCCCATCAGTCAGTCAAGTCAAGCTCTAAGCAGCACACAGCCTGGCCAGGCAGGGACCCAGGGGGCAGTCCTTGGCTCGTAGCAAGGAGCTCAAAAGGACCTCAAAACAGGAGAAGCTGCTTACCTAATGGTGTGCTCAAAATAGATGTCATCCATGGAAGCTGTGACACAGGGGCAGCCGGCATGCCTCTCCGCTGGCATTGGGACAAGAAAACTAGTTATTGGCAGCTTCCCTATGTCACACAGGCCTCTGATCAAATATCCCCTCCTTGAGAGGCTTCATCTGCTTCAGCACCTATGCTTCCTGGCCTAAGTCCCTCTAGAACCCCTTCCCTGCCCCCAGAGCTGGATCCAGGCCTCTCTCTCAAAAAGTGCTGGGGTCACTTGTGTGACCCTTACTGCCCCCAACCAGGCTGTGAGCCCCTGTGGGCTGAATTCAGGTAACAAAAGGAACAGAATGAACTCAATTTTCAGCCCACTGGGGCAGTACAATAAGCAGCCACAGTCCTGGTCTCTACTTCTTGCATTTTCCAGCCATGAAATAGCTGTGTTTAAGGCTGCCCTGGGTGGAAGCAGTTACCTCTAGCGTGATACCAACCCTCAGGACTAGGGGTCTGGGGGGAGAGGGATGGGCTGCCCAAATACTAGGACATGGGGGAGCCAGCATGAGCAAAGGCCAGGAGGAAGAACAAGTATGGACCTTGTGGGGACAGTGCCCATCTCTGAAAACCAAGGCCTCTGCTCTAGGTGCCTAGGTCAGCAGTGCAGGATGCTGTGTGGAGCACGGGCTCACCAGACAAGCAAGCCGTGGTGTCAATCCACTTGAGCAGCTGTCCAATGCTCAGCTCGCCCCGCTGGTTGGTGTGGCAGGGCAGCACCAGTTGGCTCATCTGCACCTCCGTGGGGTTTCGGTACCCCTCGCCCTCTGCCATGGCACCCTCGTCCTCTGCACGTGGAATTGACTTCCGGGATGTGCGACTGGAGAACACCGAGGCAAAGCCCTAGGGAGCGGAGCAGACACAGTGGTCAGCTCTCTGCTGGTCTCCCAGGTCTGCCCAGACCTGAGACCCTACGAGAAGATAAGAAGGAGACAAGAAGCAGCTCAGGGACATCTCCCATCAACCCTGCCAAGAGTGCCCCACCTCCAGCCACAGTCTCAGAGCTCAGTGACTATCCTGATGGTCACTTCCTCCACCTGATACGACCTCAGATGAGGGATGAGAGGGAAAGAAGAATGCAGACATCTACTTCCTCGCTCCAGCTATGGAATAACTTGCTCTAGACTGACCTATTTTTTGTTTCTTTTCGTTTCTGGGAGGTATTGGGGTTTGAACTCAGAGCCTTGTGCTTGTGTGGCAGGCACTCTACCACTTGAGCCATGCCTCCAAGCCTGAGATTGACCTTTATTCTTGAAAGACTCTCCCTTCCTAAAACAAATACATATAATGAAATCAATGGGATTGTTATGTCATCTCAGCCTTAAAAAGGAAGGAAATTCTGACACATGCTCCGAAGTGGGCAAACCTTGGGGACATTATGCTAAGTGACACATGACAGTCACAAAAGGACAAATGCTATATGATCCACTCATAAGAGGGACTCGGAGCAAACTCACAGATACAGAAAGCAGAATGGAGGTTCCCAGGGCCCAGGGGAGGGTGAAATGGTGAGTTACAGTCTAATGGGGACAGATTTTCATCTTGGGAAGATGGAAAGTTCTGGAGCTATTTAGTGGCCAATTCACATTGCCCAATAATGTGAATATGATTGACGCCACTGAACTGCACACTTCAAATGTTTAAAAGTGGTAAAGGCTTAAAAGGTAAATGGGGCAAACACACCAGTTAAAAGGAGGAGATTATCAGATTGTGTTAAGGAAAAAAAAAAAAAAAAAGCAGGACCCAATAACAAAGAGAGAAGGGCTGGGGATGTAGCTCAGTGGTAGAGCCCTTGCCCCACCATAGGGGGAAAAAAGGATATCCTGGCCAGGTGTGGTGGTGCATGCCTTTAATCCCAATTACTGGGAGGCTGAGTTTGAAGTCAGCCTAGGCTATACAATGAGACTCTGTCAAAAAAAAAAAAAAAAAGAAAGTTGGGAGGAAGGAAGTGGGGAGGGAGGGAGGGATGAACAGGTGAAGGAAGGGGGGAGGGAGGAGGGAGGGGAGGAAGAGGAAGGAAAGGGAAAGAGAGGACAGAAGACAGGAAAGAGATAGAGAGGAAACAAAGGTAGGAAGGAAGGAAAGGCAGGAAGGAAGAGAGATCTGCTCCTACGCAGGTAGGTGGTGGAGACAAGCGAGTCTTACAGCAGTGGAGCCTGGACTTGTTCCAGTAAAGAGTTTCAAGCTGCAGCTTTGGTTTCCGGCCCACAGGCCCCTTGCCTGGGCCCCTCCTTTCTGCGATACACCAGGAGGAGAGCCTCCAGTGAGCACCACATCTTTAGCACCCGGATCTACTGACTTCAAGGGCTGGGCAGTCACTGACCAGCTGTCCAACCCAGGGCAGGACTGCTTCAGCTGCCAGAGAAAGTCCTCAAGCTCGTATGTGGTGGTGGGGTTTCAAGCATGAAACACCCCATATTACTCTCCAGGCAGAAAGGAGCTGTGCCTGCTAGTCCCTCACATGGTGGGGACCTGACATCCCGCCTCCCTGGGCTGCCTTCCCTAGTCAGACTGTGAACTCCAGAGCTGTGCACACCTGTGAGGGAAACGGGGAGGGCCAGGAACTGGGTTCCAATTCTCACAGCCAAAGCCAACTGTGCCGTAGTGATAACAATCACAGCCAACGCTAAGGTAGCACTCAGGGGCCATGTACTCTTCCAAGCTCTTTACGTGTATTGTTTCAATTTTATTCATACAACAAACCTGTGAGATAGCTACATCTTACAGATGAGGAAACTGAGGACCAGGTAAGTGGCAAAGCCCAGCTATAGTCCCCAAGGTGTGGTTGCAAGTCTGAGCTCTTGCCCCCCACACACCCCACTCACACAGGGCCTCCTGGGGCTGAGGCGATAAAGAGGCTCCATGCCGCATAGAGTGTCTGACAGGATGTGAGCCTCCACAGCTGCAGGATTGGACAGAACTGGCTCTCAGACTGGGGTCTGTATGCCTTGGATGATTTCCTCCACAAGGCTCCTAAGGCTAATTCCATAAATTCAGAATATATAGAGGTGACTTACCAAATGTCCCTAATCCATGCAGTGGTAGAACTGGGATTTGAACCAGACCTGTGTAACCCAGAACTGATTGTGCTTCCCAAAGACTCAGCGTATCCTGAGAGCCCTAGGTGCCAGGCACAGTGGTGAGCAGCGAGGTGAGAGAACAGAGCAGCAGCCCCAGGGGCTCTCAGCCTGGGTGGAGGCCTGTGGGTCGCCAGGCTGCCCAGCTTTCAGGTTCTTGCAGGCAACTTGAACATGCTGCAGCAAGGCCCGTCACCACAGTAACCACTACCAAGGGCATGTCCAGCCTGGATGTGCATTGGAGACCTGGGTGGATGTGGCTGAGGGTAACTGGCTTTCTAGGTGTGGGAGCAGGTAGAGGAAGAAGGTGAGCAGGCTCCATTCATCCACGCCTTTCCCAAACCCCTCTTGTAGCCAGGATTTCTGGGAAGAGCATTCTAGAAAGAAGCTCTGGCTTAAAGAGCTGGGGAAATGCAAGACGCAAGATGCAGAGAGCAAGTGGGCAGAAGAAAGAGAGCAGGTGGTCTGGGGTTCCTGGGCTATGAACATACCTACAGGGAAGTCTCTGCTTCACCTCATCCACTGACTGACCAAGTGATCACCAGGAAGGCAGGAGGTAGGGACCAGAGCGCCCATCTTACAGATGAGAACATTGAGGATAGACAGAACCCCAGGCAGCAGTCAGCATCCTTGAGCTCCAGTCCTCTCCCTGCTTCTCAGCTATCAATCCTTACTCCCAAGAGCCACCTGTTTCCTGTGCTGGAGCTCCATCTTCCAATAAGCCTCTATATCCCTGAAGATAGGTCTTTGTCTCATTGGTTCATTCATTCTGTCATTCATTCACCAACCACCTCCTTGGTGCTGGGCCCTGGGTCAAACACCAAGAATACAAGACAAATTGGGCCTAGAAGGGCCTGACACACAGTAGGACCACATCAAAGGCTTGCAGAGGGATGACCAGAGACAGACTGGAGTGCATCCTAACCTGTCCCACAGGTGCTGCGAGATCCTGAGCTACATCTGTCCCTCACCAGGGAGGAGAGAACTGCTGTGCCACCTGAGATTTCCAATGAGGAAGCCCTGACAGACACAAACACTGTGCTTCTATTAGCAGAGCTGAGCCCCTACCTGAAGCAAAGAAGGAGAACAGAGCCCTGGGCTGGAGTACAAGCTGTGAGGATAGAGTGGCCCGGCTACCCCCAGACACATTCTCTCATACTCCACCTCCTTCCTTGGACTCCAAGGCAGTCTGCCCATGCCAGGGCCAGCCATGCCAGGCCTTCGAGTCCCAAGGCAGGCAGCCAGCCAGTCAGATGCAGGGGTGTGTGCAGCCAGGCAAGGTTTAGCCAATGGGACCCCAGAGGAGGGCCACTCCTCCCCAGAGAGCAGATGTCCTGGGGAGCACGCAGAGCCTGTCCTGGTCAGGGCAGGCAGAGCCAAAACAGCTGACCTGGCTAAGATGCTGGAGGGGAGGGAGAAAAAGAGGGAGGGTGTTTGGAGGTCAGAAACTCTCAGACCACAGTCATGCCAGGCACTGGCCTCGGGCCACACAGACCTAGCCAGATTTGATAATCCTAAACTAGGTCCCAGCTGATCACACCATGGGCTCTGTGTCCTTCCTTTGGCCAGAGTCACACCACAGACCTGTTGAGTCAGAGCAAGAGAGACCACCTTGTCCAAAGCTTTAGCAGCTGGGAGGATGAGGACAAGCATGGAGGGAAAGACTGGTCCAGTATGTCCCAGTGCTGAGCCAAGATCAGCCCTGTGGGCCAGGCCTCCTGCCAGGCAATCTGACAGCAGACCTTGATCCCCTCCCTCCCTCAATGATCTCACCACCTTAGACACAGCCTATCACACTGCCCTGGCCACCCAGGCCTCTGCCTGCCCACACAACACCAGAGGGATCTTTGCAAAAAGAAAGCTCACTGGCTCAACCACAGCCACCTACTATGTCCTGCCTTGTAGGGAGACCTGATCAAGTCCTTGTAACTCCTCCCACCACAGGGTGGTAAAGACCACACAGACCTTTCTAAAGCGCAATCCTTGCCAGGTACCTCCCCTGCTCAAGACTGTTCGATGGCTCCCCACCACTGTCTGGATCAAGGCTCAGCTACTGCAACTCCTGCCATTAACCCCAGCAGCCACTCTGCCAACTCCAAACCATATGCAGTTCCTCAGAGCATCGCTCCCCACCACACAGAGGCTGCTTCTGCCAGAATTCCTTCATCTGCCCATCTGCCCTGTGAGCCCTCCTCTTCCCCTTCACCCTCCCAAGCCTCACCTTCTCCAGGGAGAGCTAGGGCCTCCCAGGGCTCTGTAGCCTCATCATCTCCATCATAGCACTGACCAAAGTGTGCCACCTCTGTCATGCCCACAGGACAGGGACCCAGCCCAGGAGAGGGACCCAGCCCAGCACAGGGCAGTGCCAAAGAACTGCCCATGGAAGGAAGAAAGGACTTATAACTCAGGACTAGACTTGAGAACAAGGAAGGTTCAAGGTGCAGAGACCTGGGGGAACAGCTGAAAGAAGCAGGCACTGATCTGGGAGCCAGTGGCTCACACCTGTAATCCAAGCCACTCAAGAGGCAGAGATCAAAAGGATTGCATTTTGAAGTCAGCCCAGGCAAATAGCTCGCGGGATCCTATCTCAGAAAAAAAAAAAAAACCATCACAAAAAAGGGTTGGTGGACTGGCTCAAGGCATAGGCCTTGAGTTCAAACCCCAGTACCACAAAACAATAAAAATAAAAAAAAGAAGCAGACACTGCAGAGGGGCAGGTGGGATGGGTGCCAAGGCACAAGGGAGCAGGTGGGAGAATGCTGGCGT